ATGATGATAATGGCACCTTATTGTGCATTTTACATTTCAATATCTGTATAAAAGCAGAAGGCTATGAAATGCACTAGCTTCTCTGGCCCTTGTAAATGAATACATCAGTTTCACTACCTAAACTAGGGTACAGTTATAGCAATTTCTGCTTTCTAATTTGCTCTCCAATTCAATGAAAGCGGTAGAGATGGTTATTTTCTCAGTTGTTTAAATCCTGAGCAAGGGGTTGCATATTAAATTTATCCAAAGTTAAAATTGTCAAGTATGTGAGTGCTCTTTAAAGCAATGAACACTACTTTAGAGCAGTAGTGAAAATAAAGCTTGAAAAAATTTAGGCCTGTACGAGGGTTGAATCCATGATCTATACCAGTGCAGTGCTCTACCAACTGAGCTTAATAGCCAAGTGGAAGCTGGTCATTTTGCTGGCTTAAAGAAAACCTGTGGGTTAATGAATAAATGATTTAAATAAATTTTCAGTCAATAATTAAGTTATCTTTGCACCAATGAACACTACTCATAAGCAGTAATGAATTTAATTTAATGAAATGGATTAAACCTATTTGAAGGAAACATATTAACAAACTAAGCAACAGTATTATAAATTTATAAATGTGGCATTTTATATTTTTAAACCACTAGGATACTTATGTGGTCTTGATTGATGGCTCATAATACCAGTCCTCCTTGTACCAAGAGGAAAATAGGACATGGAATACATCTGTGAGTACTAGCATATTACTTTGAAATCTTAATAATAGTATGGCCCTAACAGAAGTACTCCAATGACGCTTTGTACCATATAGCTACACTAAAGGGCTTGGCTCTATTCGCTATTTGAAGAGTAATGTTCTCTATGCTGTCGTGAAAGATCTAAAGAGTGGCCAAAAAAGACCTGCTGAGCAGTGACACAGACGTCACAGAATCGAGTATAGTTTTATGTACAAAACGACGTTTTTACAGGTAGGGGGTAAAATATTTATATATTCAGCTTGAAACTTGGCACAGGCAGAACTAGCGTTGGTAGGACTAAATATTATTTTCCAAAAACTTTGGAGGGAGCTAAACCCACATATTTAGTCCTTAGGCCTTTAACTTACGATTTATGTTGGTTTTTTTATTGGGTAGTGTCTCAGTGTGGTATAAATGCTGATTACATTATGTAAGTTGGCCTTGTTCCTAAATGAACGAGTTGTATGTAATCGGATCCTTGTGTTGCCTTGAAAGGGATTTGCGATTGAGTCGCGAAAAAGGGAAGAACAAAGAGATCAAAGAAAACTTTAAACGACTCTCATGGGTTTATTGTGCGACAAACATTGTCACGATTTCTGGGATTGCCACGGAGCAAACTTTGCAAGTTGCTAGAAGGAAATATACGGTGAAAGGTTATTTTTACGTCCGTTATTTTCGCCGCCGTTTTATCATGAATCGATTTAGGTACTGTTGATACAAGGGAACCGTACGTTTTTGTTTGAATGACACCGAAATATGTAATACAACCTGCCGATAAACTTTTCTCCAGGTATGTTTGTGTGTAACATTTATTGTGTTATATTGACATGGCGGAGTGGTCTCGAAATTTTTAAAACTTAGCAATTGATCGCCAGGAAATAACACAATGAAGCCTCATAAGTTTTATATACGTGTATTTAGTCTACTCTAAGCTTTTATCTTGGCTTGGGTAATATCAAAAAGCGCTACAACAGCTACTTTGAAGCAACAGGAGATTGAAATGGTTTTCTTAAAAGTAATGTCGTGTACATTCAACTACATTCCCTATTTGTTGAGATTAATGAGAATGAATCCGCGTTGATAATCGGTTCAAATCTGAACCATTTCCTTTGCGACGATGATTAGATACAAATAGGTCGCTTAAGGAGCGATGCACATCTGAATGTCGATCACGTCTTCGGATCGTTTGCTGAAAGATGAGAGGTTTTAAGTAGATTTAAGCCTTCTTAAGAATTTTTTTTTCGAGCAGAGATATGTTTGTTATGAATGTGTGAGAATTACTTTCTTGCATCTTTACCTGAGCCTTGCTTATGCTTTATTTTAAGGCAGGTATTATCGCATTTTTATTTAAGTGTCCTCGAGGTTATCCAAGCGAAGGAGGCTGCAACTTTAATCGGGTATATCACTAATTTGAGCGGAAGAAACGTTCTTGTCTTCCAGTGAGAAAGTATGTGATTAAAAACACGAGTAAACGCGGTGGTCTGATAATGTCAAAATTGTTGTAAATTGGTGAATCTTCTGTTTTCAACTGTTGTTTGGCGGTTGATCATGCTTAAGGAATGCTAACCAAAAACTTTGTACGAATAGATCAGCCGGGATCAATTTATTTGCTCTGTGATAAAAGCCACAAATACGTGTTTACATAAGTCAATCATCTAGGCGTGGAGTTGCAACGTGTGTCGTTGTTTAGGTGCCTTGTCAGCATATTTATCCTTAAGGAAGCGTTCTATTTCTCTAAAACGCAGGTCGGCCCGATCGATTTATATTGAACAATCATTGTTTATATTTTTCTGAATTCAAATGTGTCGAGGTGTTCTTTGCAAATGCCGTCATTTCGTTTTACTCTTGAACGATCCGCCTGCTTTAGACGTAGAAGGTCGTGTTAGAATCTTCCTTCATGGCCACTAAAATCTTAAGGCTTAACCCAAGATAGATCTAATTTCGTGACGGGATAGTTAGATATTTGAACTTCATGCATATAAATGAGGCATGCAGTTCACTAATGATACAAGCGGACTAGCGTACAGCGACTTATCTTATGGCTAAATGCCTGGCAGGGACCTTTATGAAGGCTAAACACCCGGCAGGAAGGCACGGCTTTAATAGACTTAATACTCGGCAGTCAGAAATTTTCACAGAATTTCCATAGAAAGGTCCCTTCAAACTTATTCAGAATATCAGATTTTTGTTAAGAAATGTCAAGCAATTCCAAGAGTTATTTTGCTGTGGAGTGAGACTATTTCTCCGAGCCTGTGCATCCTGTAATATCACTCTGTTATCGACACTTAGAAATTCTACGCTTCTGATCGAGCTGCCAAGCACAGTTTCGAATAGACCAATTGCCCTGCAGATATAAATTGATCTTCATCAGGATGCCAAAATTACTGGATGCGCAAGCTCGGAGAAATTGTCCACCTAATGGGGAAAATAATTTTTGGAAGCCCTTGACATTTCTAAAGAAACATCAAATACGTCAACTTTGTGTCACAACTATTTTGACAGCATAAATTAAGATTTTGTATCGAGTGCGCGTGTTTCCACAGACGTAGCTAAAAATTAGCATAGCAATACAGAATACCTTTTTACCTTAAGTCCAGAAATGTTCTGTTTCAAGTTATCTCGTTTTGTCCCCGACCTCCATAGGAAAGGTTTTTAGTGCCCAGTAGATTGGAAGAGTGGAACTTTCCATATTTTAGGTGCTTGTTTGAACTTGTCAGTTGGCACGTTACGTCTGTCAATGACCATGTTATACAAATGCAAAACCCACACTTCCAATCAACATTTTAGTGAAAATGTCGTCTGAGAGTCTTTCGACTTAAAACTGTTTGCGTGACAAAGTTATGATCCATTGCATTGATTTCAAACTTGTATCAAGCCAATCAGCAAGCTCGATGAGCTCTTCAGTCGTTTATGATTGATAATCATGACATGTGCTCGCGGACGTAGGATTTTATGGTCGCCCTACATTTCCAGCAATCTTCTCGGTGGCGAATTTTCCTCCCTGATTTAACGTGGCTTCTTTTTTTCGAATCAAGGTCGTGAAGCCCTTTGGGACTACTAAAAAGACAACGGAGACTCTTCAGATATGATGGTCTACCTTTACTTCGCTGGGTTGGATAATTCAAATTTCGGCGGACGTGCTGGACTGAAAGACTCAGCTTTACGATGATTCGATTAATTTCATAGTTATCAATGGTCAGACTATAAGAGCCTCAATGAAGGAGTGCAAAATTTGAATCAATCGACGCTTCTGTACGTATGCTGACCTTTTGCATTGTAACTCGTTTAAGTAAATTGACTACTCGTTTTAAGGTTGCCTTTCTTGGTTCGAGTGTTAGCGTCGGTTCCAAATCGTATAAAAATAAGTTAGAAAAGGCTATACTTACCTTTCATAAAGCAGGACCTCACAATTAAGAATAAGTTGTAGGAAACCAAAGTCGTGTGCCAAAAACGACTTGTCTATTTCCGCGCTAGAGTTTCGTCTATTCAGGTACAGCGGTATGTTATTACTTCGTGGTTCACTTGTACTCACGTTTCTTTCTTCATCGGTTGCACTATTTGTCAGTTATATTCTAACGATGATTGTGTTTAGGTACTGCTTTAGTCCATGAAAAAGCTCTAGTTCCAAGTGTAAAATGCAGCTTTACGTAGTACGGTCATGTCATTTTGAAACCTTAATCAAATATATTTTGTATATTTATAAGAATTGAAACCTGTGTTTTTTCCTCGCTACTGGGAGACGTGTGTTAACTCCTAAATGCCAAATTTTTTTCGTTGTGCCTAGTTTTTCCAATAATTCGTAGAACAAAAATGTTAGTTCTGGTCAGTTGAGTTTATGGGGGAACGAAAATGAAACTTTTGCGGTTGGGGTTTTTCCCTCTTAAATCAGTTTATGCCTGATTAAGTAGAGTTCCACATAGACCACGGAAATGTGACTAAAATGAGAGAGAAAGAAGAAAAGAGAATTTAAGACCTCAAAAATTACTGTGAAAGAAATAAAGAAGTTGTGAGCCGATTGGTGTTTGTTCTGAAGATAGATAGTGTGTAGTAATAATGCCTCATGCTCAACATCTTTCTGCTAATCTCAGCCACACCAAAGACCCATTTATCTGCTTTATGCGAAACGTTATGAAATTGTGAACCTTTGTTTCATCGTGACGATTATATTACGTGATGTATTTGTTATGTATGAAGAAAACAGGAAAGATGGACACTCCCACTGAGATATTTGGGTTATCTTGTTGGCATTGGCATTACAAAGTTTGTTCCGTTTTTTCAGATATTTTTTAATGCAAAGTAAACTAAAAACGAACATTTTCGGCCTTGAACAACTGCCTTGAGACAAATAGGCTTTTGATTGTTAGCTTTTATCTAATCTCGATGCATTATGCGGCGTGTGATCCGCACAAAGGTTCATAGTAGTGGTGTCGAATCCCTACGAGGTAAAGAAACCAAAATAGATGAATTAGTATAATGAAGGTTAGATTGCCACTTAAGAAACAGAATATTTAACGCGTGTGCGTGCGTCTGTGAGTGTGTGTTTTGTATAATTGACATTTTACCTGAACATCTCCTGGATGAAGGTCGATGCCCCTAGTATGAAAGAATGCACATCTGTCAATTATGTTCGTTCCTCTATTCTTTTTGATCCTGGTTTGCTTTTTTAAAAAGCCAAAGCAAACTTGTTGCATAATATGAGTCGAACAGGAACTTAAAGAAGTGCCACACCATTTGTGACAGCTTAAAACATAATTCAATCGTGCTGGTGGGAATTAGTTGTAAATAAGAGATGATGGGAAGCAGTAGTAAATACGAGAGTGATCAGTCTTTATAACTGTTGTTATATCGGTAGTTCACTGTGGTATACGGTGTTGTACAACGGTGTCTCACTTAAAGTGGTATAAAATAATCGACACGAGGATAAAACTAGATGGAATTCAGAAATACACAAGATTTCTTGAAATCTAAAATGTTACTTACCTTGCGGGCACGTAATACCCACATGAACATGTTTTTCTTCCATAATTCTGAGACTAAAAAAAAATTGGTGTACTTTTTTGTTAGAACTAGAGTAGTACAAGGAAACTAATCCTGATTCAGTTGGAAGCTATTTTTAGTTCAATCATCAAATCATGGCCATCAATTTTCCATACCTCCTCATAAATATATCGCCTGATAAGCACAAGCTCTTCATATACTAGCTGTATGTCCAGGCTAGAAGATAAAGAATAGTAACTACTGTTTACCTCACTGAATTACATTTTTTGTGCACAGTGTTGTGCTCAAAATATCACCCCTGTAGTGTGACTTCTTCAAGCTCATCGTAATTTGCCAAAAGAGAAACTAGACCTGCATATTTTTTTACCCTTTTGTTGTCGCGCTAAAAGTTAGTGAGAGAATTGATCTTCAAAGAACAGTAACGACTGTGAAGTGCTTTTCTATTCCAGATATCATGTTGGATTCTCGTTCGCTGTCCGAACGAAAAGATTTTGTTTTCAGATTTCAAATCTCTAAGTCTTGTTCGTATCCATTAAATAAAAACCCTACTTTGAAGAATGCGAAGGATGTATGTAGGTAAGGAAATGTTTGTTTGACTCTGATATGGTCTCTTCTCGTCGCTTTTGTGTGACTGCCCGTGACTTCAGGAGAGTCAAGAGAGAGTACATTTTTGCTTTCGAAGCACAAGATAAGTCAGACGTGGAATGTTTGGAGCATTTACTCGAAACTCTCATGCAGCTTAATTACTGGTCGATTTCATAAATGATTGTGTTGTACAATTTGTCGTCATTAATTGCGAATCTTGTCTAAAATCTCTGGCATAGTCTTGTTGTTTTGCATTTACATAGGAATTAAATTACTGACTATATTGGAAATTTCTAGCAAGAGTATCGAAGTGCTTGTTTAAGCTTTAGTGAAGGCGAACCTTTGCTTTCTTGAAATTGTTTGTAGATGCAAATGTCCATATCATCCCTATTTGAATCTACACGTAACTATATCGAAAATATCAGACTCGGGATACGCCATCAAATGGGAAAAAACTGTCGATGAAAAGCGTTTTCCAAAGTCAAAATTGTAGAGAGCACTCATAGTGCGAATTGTTGTCCATCATTAACTTGAAATGAACAACCCACAAGAATACTTTCTTGTTGCTAGAGCCGCAAAATCTCAAACAATACTACCATTTACTTTACAGCAAAATATTATGGAGCAATGTCTCTCACCTTCTGTTGGCCATGATAACCTCATTTACCCCCAAGGTCCTTTGAAATGAGTACCTGGGTAGCCTCAAAGAGTTCAAATTAACACTTGCGTGCGAAGTGGCGTTTACGTATGCGTGACCGATCTCAGCTCATTTATGAATAGCGAATTTCCGTCAAAATTATGATATCAAACCTGAGTTATATGGCTACCATGGTGTCATATCAACCATTTTAAAGGAGAGGCAGGCTAGGACACGACTGACTTATTATTTTGAGCTAGAATCTTAAAATATTTTCTTATGCAAGGCGTGCCACGCCAAACCTTTATGGTACAAAATAAACTGATTCAAACCTCATCATGCCCAGCTTCACATTTGAAGTCTCTGCGTTTTCTATTGTGACGAGTGCTCAAAATAGTAGCTATTTGTTGCTGATTTACTGAGTTGTTGTTGTCCTCGCGTTCGAACTATCATCGCTACTCTCAATTAAACCAAGAAGCTGTAACATCTGGGACTAAAGTCCATTTCTAAACCAGAGCACATTTGAAGGATATTACGTGGTATAATTTGTCATATTGGGTCTACATAATGTCCTTTTCTTCGATCCCATTTAGGGAGTGCAGAAATTTAACCTTGTATCTCTCACCTAAAGTAATGAAGTTGGCTTATTTTTAGAGTGAGCGTAGTATATTTCGGCTCACAATTAATTTGCTAGATGCTTTTGTATAAATGTCTGTCAGAAAGGTGTAGGTTATGACAAAACAAAAGTAAAAGAGTAGGAGGAAGAAAGACTATTTGAGGGGAAGGAACTGCTTGGTTTATTCAGTGGTTATGCATTCATGTTCTCGTTTTGCCAACTTTTAACTCAGTCTTTGTTACTGTGAAGTATGGGATCCGTGATGAAATTGTCTACACTTGTTCTTTCATATAAGTTAGCTTCATGTTTATTGGAAATGGAAAGATGGTGGGGGG